ATCCCCCCTCCCCCTCCTCTGTGTTTCCAGTGTCCAGCCTGACGTGTGAAGTGTGCGGAGCTCAGTTTGGGACCAAACGAGGACTGTCCATCCACGCCCGCTCCCACCTGCGTCAGCTGGGCATCAGCGTGTCAGAGGGCGGCGGCTCTTCCATCAAACTGCTCTACCAAATCGCCAAGGAGCGCAACATGGTCTCCCCCCACCCTAGGTCCAGTTCGGCCAAGACCCCGTCCAACCCCCTCCCTCAGAAACATGAGTTTCTGGACGACATGGACGTAGACGAAAAACCAATCCCTCTCTCCGTCCTGGCCAAAGCAGCCAAGGCCGTGCCCCCCCCCTCCTCCCCGACATCCAGGTCCTCTCCTGCTGCCTCTCCAGCGGTGCCGTATTCTGGCCCCCCCCCCTCGGTGGTGAGGAAAGCCCCCATCTCCTCTCTGCTGCCTGTGTCTTCCCATATCCGCTCCCTGGAGCACAGGGTCGTGGGGATGAAAAGTTTGACCTCTAACCTCACCGGTCCAGCCTCGATGACCACAACCAAACCCCTGTGGGCCCCCCAGGAGAGCGACGCGCCGCTCAACCTGAGTAAGTGACATCACAGGAAGTCCCCAAGAAAAACACACCGGTCAGAGAGGTCACGCTGTGACATCACTCTACGTTATTACTTCCTAAACTGTGACGTCACAGCAGCTGTGGTTGAACCTCTAACTAACTAACTGACTAACTAACTAACCAACCAACTAACTAACCAACCAACTAACTAACTAACTACCTAACTAACTAACTAACTACCTTAGTAACTTAGTTAGGTTTAGAGCTGAGGCTCCATTCATAACATAGTAACATCTGTCCGTCTGTGTTGACGTGCGACGCTCCTGTTTTTTCCCTCCCTGTGCAGCAGTGGACGTGGACCCCGACAAGGACATAGTCTGCCAGCTGTGCGGCGCCTGGTTCGAGACCAGGAAAGGACTGTCGAGCCACGCCCGGGCCCACCTGCGCCACTTTGGCGTGGAGTACCTGGAGTCCAAAGGCTCGCCCATCGACCTCCTGCAGGAGCTCATGGACAGCGAGGACTTCAAGCTCAAGGCCAACGAGGTGCAGCTGGACGGAGAAACAGCCACGCTCTCCTCCCCCAAGCAGCCCCCCCTGAGCCTCTCCTCCTCCTGCTCCTCCCCTCCGTCCCTCCTGTACAAGGTGACCGCGGCCGGAGGTGGGTCGACATCCAAATCTACCTCTGCCTCCTCTGGACTGGGCCCACCCCCCAAACGCCTCAAGTCTTCTTCCATGCAGCTGTTCCGTCTGAGCAGTGGAGAACTCATGGCCCTGCCACAAAGTAGGTACTGTGTAACTGAGGGGGGGGGCGAGCGGGGGGGCTGGTACCGATTCTCACAATCCATAGAAGGACAGGTTCTTCCTCTGGATTGGGTTTAATAAATATGTGTGTGTGTGTGTGTGTGTGTGTGGGGGGGGGGGGCCACCGGTTATTTAGTATTTGGATGAAGTACTAGTCCTACTAACATCGGTACCAGTTCCATCTCTGTTCTACTGTGTGTAATCATGACATGGGGGAATAGAACTTTTTTTTTTAAACTCCATACGTTGCCCCCTACAGGTGAACCTCCTAAGGAGATCGGCTGTGAGTACTGCGGGGAGTACTTTGAGAACCGTAAGGGTCTCTCCTGCCACGCCCCCTCCCCGCTCGCCGGGGGCTGCCCTCAGCTCTGCCTCTGAAACCTCACAAAACCCCGCCTCCTCCGTCCCCTCCGGTGCCCCCCCACTCCCCCCTGTCCCCCTCCTCGTCTCCGTCCGCCACACTCCTCAGCGCTCGTCTGCCGTTCGGCTTTGGCCGCACTTCCAGTCCTCTTCAGTCGTCCGTGTCCAAGTCCGGCTCTGCTCCACCGACCTCTCCGACCGGACTCATCCTCAAGATGAAGCCTGAGCCGATGCAGGTGGAGGTCACCGCCCCCGGAGCTGCGGGCAGATCAGGGAGCTTCACCGCTGAATCTCTTACCTCCAGGTGGAGCGACGCTGACGGCGCATTTCCCCTCAACCTGGGTGAGTCAACCTGTGGTCCGTGGTCAGTCCTGGTTCGTGGTCAGTCCTGGTCCGTGGTCAGTCCTGGTCCGTGGCCAGTCCTGGTCCGTGGTCAGTCCTGGTGCCTCTGTGTCATAATGATCTGTGATGCGTTCCCTCCTCAGCCATGGCCCACGAGGCGGAGCCAACGAGGGACATTCGCTGTGAGTACTGCGGGGAGTACTTTGAGACCCGTAAGGGTCTCTCCAGCCACGCCCGCTCCCACCTGAGGCAGATGGGCATCACGGAGTGGCCGGTCAACGGCTCCCCCATCGACACCCGGAGGGAGGTGATGCTCAAAAGAGGAGTGAGCGCCACCTCTGACCGGGGAGTGAAGAAAGAATCCGGCCGCGGAGCCAAGAGCCCCCAGTATCCACGCCCGCTCCCACCTGAGGCAGATGGGCATCACCGAGTGGACTATAAACGGCTCCCCCATCGACACCCTGAGGGAGGTGATGCTCAAAAGAGGAGTGAGCGGCACCTCTGACCTGGGAGTGAAGAAAGAATCCGGCCGCGGAGCCAAGAGCCCCCAGTATCCACGCCCGCTCCCACCTGAGGCAGATGGGCATCACGGAGTGGCCGGTCAACGGCTCCCCCATCGACACCCGGAGGGAGGTGATGCTCAAAAGAGGAGTGAGCGGCACCTCTGACCTGGGAGTGAAGAAAGAATCCGGCCGCGGAGCCAAGAGCCCCCAGTATCCACGCCCGCTCCCACCTGAGGCAGATGGGCATCACCGAGTGGACTATAAACGGCTCCCCCATCGACACCCTGAGGGAGGGGGTGCTCAAAGGAGAAGTGAGCTCCACCTCTGACCTGGGAGGGAAGAAAGAATCCGGCCGCGGAGCCAAGAGCCCCCAGTATCCACGCCCGCTCCCACCTGAGGCAGATGGGCATCACCGAGTGGACTATAAACGGCTCCCCCATCGACACCCGGAGGGAGGTGATGCTCAAAAGAGGAGTGAGCGGCACCTCTGACCTGGGAGTGAAGAAAGAATCCGGCCGCGGAGCCAAGAGCCCCCAGTATCCACGCCCGCTCCCACCTGAGGCAGATGGGCATCACCGAGTGGACTATAAACGGCTCCCCCATCGACACCCGGAGGGAGGTGATGCTCAAAAGAGGAGTGAGCGCCACCTCTGACCGGGGAGTGAAGAAAGAATCCGGCCGCGGAGCCAAGAGCCCCCAGTATCCACGCCCGCTCCCACCTGAGGCAGATGGGCATCACTGAGTGGAAGGTCAACGGCTCCCCCATCGACACCCGGAGGGAGGTGATGCTCAAAAGAGGAGTGAGCGCCACCTCTGACCGGGGAGTGAAGAAAGAATCCGGCCGCGGAGCCAAGAGCCCCCAGTATCCACGCCCGCTCCCACCTGAGGCAGATGGGCATCACTGAGTGGACGGGCAACGGCTCCCCCATCGACACCCTGAGGGAGGTGATGCTCAAAAGAGGAGTGAGCGCCACCTCTGACCGGGGAGTGAAGAAAGAATCCGGCCGCGGAGCCAAGAGCCCCCAGTATCCACGCCCGCTCCCACCTGAGGCAGATGGGCATCACTGAGTGGAAGGTCAACGGCTCCCCCATCGACACCCGGAGGGAGGTGATGCTCAAAAGAGGAGTGAGCGCCACCTCTGACCGGGGAGTGAAGAAAGAATCCGGCCGCGGAGCCAAGAGCCCCCAGTATCCACGCCCGCTCCCACCTGAGGCAGATGGGCATCACTGAGTGGAAGGTCAACGGCTCCCCCATCGACACCCTGAGGGAGGGGATGCTCAAAAGAGGAGTGAGCGCCACCTCTGACCGGGGAGTGAAGAAAGAATCCGGCCGCGGAGCCAAGAGCCCCCAGTATCCACGCCCGCTCCCACCTGAGGCAGATGGGCATCACGGAGTGGCCGGTCAACGGCTCCCCCATCGACACCCGGAGGGAGGTGATGCTCAAAAGAGGAGTGAGCGGCACCTCTGACCTGGGAGTGAAGAAAGAATCCGGCCGCGGAGCCAAGAGCCCCCAGTATCCACGCCCGCTCCCACCTGAGGCAGATGGGCATCACTGAGTGGAAGGTCAACGGCTCCCCCATCGACACCCGGAGGGAGGTGATGCTCAAAAGAGGAGTGAGCGCCACCTCTGACCGGGGAGTGAAGAAAGAATCCGGCCGCGGAGCCAAGAGCCCCCAGTATCCACGCCCGCTCCCACCTGAGGCAGATGGGCATCACGGAGTGGCCGGTCAACGGCTCCCCCATCGACACCCGGAGGGAGGTGATGCTCAAAAGAGGAGTGAGCGGCACCTCTGACCTGGGAGTGAAGAAAGAATCCGGCCGCGGAGCCAAGAGCCCCCAGTATCCACGCCCGCTCCCACCTGAGGCAGATGGGCATCACGGAGTGGCCGGTCAACGGCTCCCCCATCGACACCCGGAGGGAGGTGATGCTCAAAAGAGGAGTGAGCGGCACCTCTGACCTGGGAGTGAAGAAAGAATCCGGCCGCGGAGCCAAGAGCCCCCAGTATCCACGCCCGCTCCCACCTGAGGCAGATGGGCATCACTGAGTGGACGGGCAACGGCTCCCCCATCGACACCCTGAGGGAGGGGGTGCTCAAAGGAGAAGTGAGCTCCACCTCTGACCTGGGAGGTAAGAAAGAATCCGGCCGCGGAGCCAAGAGCCCCCAGTATCCACGCCCGCTCCCACCTGAGGCAGATGGGCATCACCGAGTGGACTATAAACGGCTCCCCCATCGACACCCGGAGGGAGGTGATGCTCAAAAGAGGAGTGAGCGCCACCTCTGACCTGCGAGTGAAGAAAGAATCCGGCCGCGGAGCCAAGAGCCCCCAGTATCCACGCCCGCTCCCACCTGAGGCAGATGGGCATCACTGAGTGGACGGGCAACGGCTCCCCCATCGACACCCTGAGGGAGGGGATGCTCAAAAGAGGAGTGAGCGCCACCTCTGACCTGCGAGTGAAGAAAGAATCCGGCCGCGGAGCCAAGAGCCCCCAGTATCCACGCCCGCTCCCACCTGAGGCAGATGGGCATCACTGAGTGGAAGGTCAACGGCTCCCCCATCGACACCCTGAGGGAGGTGATGCTCAAAAGAGGAGTGAGCGCCACCTCTGACCTGGGAGTGAAGAAAGAATCCGGCCGCGGAGCCAAGAGCCCCCAGTGGGAGAACACGAGGAGCGCCGTCAGCTCGGAGGGGCTGCTGGTCCCCGGCTACCTGTCGTCCAAATACCGTAAATCTCCTCTGAGTTTGCTGCAGTCGGGGTCCAGGCTCCACAAACAGAGTCTGGGCTCCGTGGGTCCGTCGTCTCCGCCTGCGGGGAAGCTCTTCAGGATGACTCCCCTGGGGAGGAGGCTCCTGACGGAGGAGAGCCGGTCTGTGGAGACGTCCAGGTCTCCTCCGCATCAGCTGAAGACCTTCTCACCTCTGCCCCGGGATTTGTCCTTCAAGAAGAAAGTTTCTCCAGAGAAGCACGGCCATCAGGGTGAGTGTCCGTCCGTTCGTCCGTCCGTCCGTCCGTCCGTCTGTCTGATTCTTGTTTTTATCTTTGTCAGTCCAGTCTACGTCTGTAGTCCAGTCTGCCTCTGTAGTCCAGTCTGCCTCTGTAGTCCAGTCTGTAGTCCAGTCTGTCTGTCTGATTCTTGTTTTTATCTTTGTCAGTCCAGTCTACGTCTGTAGTCCAGTCTGCCTCTGTAGTCCAGTCTGCCTCTGTAGTCCAGTCTGTAGTCCAGTCTGTGTCTGTAGTCCAGTCTGTAGTCCAGTCTGTGTCTGTAGTCCAGTCCACAGCTGTAGTCCCGTCTGTGTCTGTACTCAGTCTGTGATTTTGTGCACACACCTCAACAGCGTCTTGACTTCTCGTTCCGTGGTTGTTCTTTTTAGACCCCAGCTGTGAGTTGTGCGGCTTCTTCTTCGAGAACCGTAAAGCTCTGGCCAGCCACGCCCGCGCTCACCTCAGACAGTTCGGTGTGACCGAGTGGTGCGTGAACGGATCGCCCATCGAGACCCTGAGCGCCTGGATCCGCAGCAGACCGCAGAAGGTTCTAGAGATGCACCGGAGCTACATGCAGGGCAGCCGCTCGGCCCTGAAGAAGGTGGGGGGGGACATCCTGGGATGTGGTCAGGATTGTCTTTGGATGATTACATCCTGGGTTCGTGGCTCGCTCACTTCCTGTCAGAGCCGACAGGAAGTCCTCTGTTGATGAAGTCGACTCTCTGTGTCAATAAGACAAGAATAACAGACGACTTCAATATTTACATTCAAATGATTTTGTCTTGTGGTTCACAGCGTGGCCACTAGGGCCCCCGCACCTTATGTTTGGTAGCACTGGTAGGGCATAAACCTGTGTCTTTACAGCAGAAATCACAGTGAGAACAGACTCCAGAACAGCTCAGCTATTTGACTTGATAGTTGCCATGGTAACGGGGCCGTCTGGCAGCTTATGTTTCATTTCAGATAAATTATGGCTGTTGATGGAAGAGAATGGACTTTTTTTTCCCTTTTCCTTCTGTTTTTTTTCTCTCCTGAGCTGAAGTGGTTTCTGCTGCAGTGGCGTCACCTTCACACCTTCACTCTGATCTGATTGGCTCTGTGATGTGACACACATACGGAGAGGATTATCTTTGAAATGTCCTTGTCATGATTCTACTGGATGAACCAATGTTTTCATTCCCAGAATTCCAGGCCGTCTGTATCTGGAGGTTCTACTCTGTTATCACATCATTACTTCTCTATAGTTTTAGTAACAGGTCGGTGGAGAGGTGGCTGGTTCTCTTGCCTTACATCAAAAAGGGCACCAGTTCGATCCCCAGTGTTCTCTGTTTTTCTAGCCCAGTCCAGAGTTCTGGTCCAAAGAGGTTGATGGTTCACTCTGCTGGTACGGCCCACAGGACTGGGGTTGGGCTGCACTCTCATGTGGCCCAGTGTTTAGTGTCTATGAGGCTCTGTGATAGGTTAGGGTCATGACATCATGACATCACTGAGCAGATGACCTCACACAGACTCCCTTCCTGTCTCTCCACAGAAGACCTCCTCGTCCTCCTCGTCCTCCTCACAGTGGTCTTCCTCCTTGGCCGTAAGCCTGGTCCAACCCCCCGGCCGCGACCCGAGCCACGGTTCTTCCAGGACCGCAGACGGAGCCGAAACTGGTACCGACCCACGAGTCGGCGGGGTCAGTCCCAGCCCCTCACGTCTGACTGGTGGGCTCCCCCTGCAGGCTCAGGTGGCAAGGAGCGAGCTGAACGTCCGCCTCCCCCGAGGTACGACTGAGCAGCTGAGCTCAGATCACGGCCAACACCTGGTGTTCTGGTCCGATCACTCTGCACTCAACGTGGACCGATTAAAGACTGATCAGACCATGAATTAGTCTTTAATCAGTCAGGACACACTCCTCCTCTCTGTCTCCTCCTCTCATCTTCTCAATGTTCTCCTTCTGCTCAGGGTTTGAACGACGGCCCCTGAAACATCCGTCCTGTCCAGATGGAGTGGAGCGGGACAGTTGTCCCCCCAAACCTCCCCGCACAGGCACCGTCCCCGCCCTGGTGCCCAAACCTCCCTCCTACCCACTGGTTAAACTGGTGGGAAAGTTCTACACCCTGAAGTGCCGGTGAGTGGCTGATCTAGAACAGGGAGTACTGCAGTACACAGTACTGCAGCAGATAGTACTGCAGTACTACACAGTAGTGGTTTGTCCTCCTCAGGTTCTGTGACGTGGAGTTCCACGGCCCGATGTCGGTGCAGGAGGACTGGATCCGACACATCCAGCAGCACATCCTCCAGATGAACTACAGCAGACACGCTGAACCCTCGGCCCCCGCTGACCCCCCGACCTCGGGCCAGGCCTCGGCGTTGGCCTCCACCTCTACCTCTAGTACAACACCTGCCCTCACCTCCACCCTGACCCCCGACCCTACGCCTCCTGCTGAGTGTACTCGCATCACCACTGCCACGGAGATCACCCAGGTGTTGGAGGAGCAGCCGACACGAACAGCCAATCCCGTTCCTGTCCCTGTCCCTGTCCCTGTCCCTGTCCCTGTCCCTGTCCCCGCACCGGTGGTTTAAGCTCGGACTCTTCGCCTTCATCTCACGCCTTCTTTTTTCTCTAGCCTTTAAATTCACGTCCACCCTGGAACTGTTGAGTCCCCCCCCCCCGAACATTCAATGGCCAATTTTTGGGGTCAATCATTCCTCAGACCCCTGGTCACAAGCCCCGCCCCCTCACTGGCAGACTGACATGTGACATTGTGGTAATCTTGCTGTTGAGATTTTAAATTTTTTAAAGGCACTTTGACCTTTGACACTCCCTCAGCACTTGTTAAAACAGCCCATTTAAATGGGATAAATCTGATTGGTTAACGGAGCCTGGAGGGCGGGCACACCAAACTGGGAAGTTTAACTTCAAGTTTTGTAAAACCCCAAAAATAAAAAGACATTTTTGCTTGAATGTAGCCTAAAGCACCTGAAGAACCGTATCTGCACATTCAAACACAATCAGAAGATGGCGCCATGTTACTATTGAAGTTGTTGTCAGACGTACAGTGGTGTGTTTTTGTCTTTGGTCAGAAAATGGTTCAAATCCTGAGCTGCTTTTGTTCAGTTGTTCTCAAACTTCTTACACGATGAACTACCTGAAAGTACTTGATTCCTAAAGTACTACCAGTATGACAAATACTGAAGTACAGCAGCACACCTGACCTACCCAATCCATGATGGCACTCTAATTCCCCTGTGTACCAGTAGAGGGAGCCCAAGTACTTCTGAAAGTATGCATACTACTTGTATAGTTTAAGAATCACTGCTGAAGTTCAACCAATCACAGAGAAGGTGGTTCAACATAGGGATCGTGCTAATGGAAGGCCAATAATTATGTTGAAAATTCAGCCCTAAATATTTACGGAACCTCTGTCATGATTTAATCTGTTTTTGTTTTCTTAACACGACCTCCGCCTGACCTCTGACCTCTGACCTTCAGTTGACTTATCTTTGAACCTTTTCTGTACTTCGTTGCGTCTCCGTTTGTTAATTCAGTTCATGAGTTTAAATCACAGAGTCTGATTGGTGGATATTGTTCGACTGAAGACAAAGTCAGACTAAACACTTGAACGCATCACTGTTGTCGTCCAAGACACGGGGCCAACCTTCATGTTCTGGGTTCTGTTCTGGTCCACTCTGACCCCGTGGGTATTTATTTCTGCTCAGACGATGTGGCGACGTCGAGTCGTTTTATGGAGACGATGTTTTTGTTTGGGTGTTTGGAGACGTCGGTGTGAGTGTGTGACGTTGTTGTGTGTTTGTACAGACGACACTTGTCTTCAGAACATTTGTTTCCTTTTGTTTGGAAGAAACAAGTTAAAATACAGGAAGATTTAAAAAAAAAAAAAAAAAAAAAACCAGTGTGAAGGAGAGGCGTCCGTCTGTCCGGGGTCTGATCGGGACCTGAATGCATCATCATCATCCTGTGAGGATGGGCCAAAGAGTCTGTTTACGTCCTTGTCCTGCCTCTGTAACAGCTGTTTACATTGGACCTGATGGTGGAGGACTCTGTTTCCCAGGGCTCCACCTTAAACCATGGACTGAGACCCCCTGCCCCCCCCCCCCAGGAGCAGCCTGACTGGACTGGTGTCGTTGTCATAGGGACAGACTGTTCTGTTCTGTGAGACGGAGGTTCAAGCCTCGGTTCAAACACAGAAACGCGGCCTGACGGGGGCGTCACCCTCCACCTGAGGCCCCCTGGAGGTTGACACGTGACTGTCAGTCTAAGCCTCTGTATGGAGCATAGATACACAGTACTATATAACTACATGTATTTAAGAAGCCGTCGTTGCTCGTCGCCGGTAGTTAAAGTCAAAATGATCTGAGATCGCCCTCTGCTGGGCTTCGATCTCAAACTTTCATTTCTGTGTTTTTTATTCTTGATCTGTGCTTTTCTGTATTTGCAGTCCAGCGAGGTGAACGTTAGGAGTGTTTTTTTTCTTATTTTAGTTTGTCAGTCATCTCCCCCCCCCCCCCCCCCCCAGCTGAACCCTTGGTGCTGGGATATGAGCAGAACGCTGACTGAATGTGAGATAAACACAGTGTGAAACTGTCACGTCCTGGTTTGTCAGGACGCTAATAAGCTGGCCTTAACGGGAACTTGAACGCACCACGGAAACAATCACCTTCTGTGTTGAAGCTGAACGACGTCTTTGTCTCAGAGTCCTGCAGGTGCATTAGAGTTCTCTGAGAAGAAGACGAGCTGACCAAGCCTTAGCTGGTGCAACTGGCTGCTGTGGTGTGTGTGTAAGAAGAGGAGGAAGAGGAGGAGGAGGAGGAGGAGCTGTACTGTAAACAAAGGGTTCAATTCTAAAGTGAATCAAGTCCAGAAAAAACGACAATAAATGTGATTTCAGTTTCATCACTGAGTCTCTTCTTTTATTGGCCCGTCCCTCTTCATAAAGGTTCACCACTAGAGGGAGCTGTAGTACAAGCCTCATGCCGTGGGTTAAACCGTGACTTCACTGGATCAGTACTCCAACATGTCTTACTGATGAAGTTCTCCAGTACTCACAGTAAAACCTGCTCACAGATGTATCCATTTTATCACTATCACTACGTCATTTTCTGACTCACATTCTTCACCGATGTGTAGTTCTTTATAGTTCAGTCATTCAACAGGAGTTCTTGATCCAGAGAACTGAAGCAGAACGTCCGTGATTTTTTTTTTTTTTTCAGAGGACATGGTTCGTGTTATCTGAACTCAGTTGAGAGAGCCTTTATATCTAGTCGGGATAATTGCTTGATAATCAGCTTTTGTGAAACCGGAAGTCAGAGTTGGACCTCACCGGTTTACGGAAGCCAGAGCTGTGACTTGAACTCTGAGTTTCTGGGAGGTTCTTTGGAAGCTTCACGGTCTAGTCGGCTTCAAGAAACCGGAAAGTTCCCTCTAACTCAGAGTTAACTAACTCTGAGTTAGTACTAACTCTGAGTTTGGATGACCTCACAACGGACCCCTGACGTCAGCCAGGGAAACTGGAATTCAACAACTCTGATATCAAACCTAATCTTAATCTGCTTTAATCTGATTATTCCAGAATAATTGTAGCTCTGATGGAACAGAAAAGTCTGAAGACAAACGGGAATTTGTTGTTCAGGAGAAGAAAGAAAGAAAACTGACTTTAGATTTAAATGTTCACAGACGGAAACATCAGCCCTGGAGCTCATTAAAGGTCAGAGGTCAACGTTCCAAACCTGAGGTCATGAACCTGAGCATGGCGTCAGTGAAGGCAGCGTCTCAGGAGCCTGAGGTTAATGAGTTTTCCAAAGGAGACTTCTCATTGGCTGATCTGTGGATGACCTCACCGCTCTGAGACTGTGGAGACACATCCATCCACTAGGTGGCTCTCTGTTCTGAAGAAAGTTACTGTAATGAACACTCTTGAAGTTTGAAGTGTCGTGTGTTTTGATTGGACGACTGAGATCCCAGTGGGTTCAGATCTTAGCCCCCCCCCACACCCCCCCCCACTTCACCCACTGATGGGTAAATGACTAAAATAACAGTGTGGTACGGGGGGCGGGGGGCTCCCCCAGAGGTCACCCCATGCCACCTCCTCTCTGCGGCGTCCAAGTCCAACAAGCCACAGGTGAACCTGAGCAAATACTCTTCTGTGAACACGCAGTATGTTCCAGCATCGGTTTTTAAAGGAGCTGTCCCAACATTTACTGAAGTGCAGAGCATTTACTCTGACAGGACCTGGAGCAAGGACCGGGGGAGAGAAGAGGAGGGAGGGAGGGAGGGAGGGAGGTGGATTGTTGAATTAATTCATCTTTATTCATCTCTACTTCATGACTTTGGTTGAACTTCGCTTTATTTGGATTTGAACCTCATTTGTCCTGAGACTCTTAGACTCCGCCCCCTCTTCACTCTGGGACACAGGAACAGGACAGAGGTTAAACATAAGGTCGAGGCCTCAGGGAGGGTTGTTGTTGTTGTTGTTGTTGTTGTTGTTGCTGTTGTTGTTGTTGTTGTTGTTGTTGTTGTTGTTGTTGTTGTTGTTGTTGTTGTTGTTCAGGACCTGACTGGTCCAGTCTGCAGACGGTGTCTCAGCAGGTTCGTCCTCACTCTTCTGTCAGGTCACTTCAAACACACTTTGATTCAAGAGAACACTGAGTCTGTTTCATTTAACAGACCGGATATTCCCCCCCCCCCCCCCTCATACATGGAAGCCTATTCTCCTCGCTGCTGTGGACGGAGACGCTCTGCCAGATGTTTGTCTCCCGGTCTCAGAGGAGCAGCGATGTTTAGACCAGATGGTCCTGAGTCTAAACAGGACTTCAGTGAGAACTCTCCTGACCCGGTCCAGAGTCTCCAGAACCGAGTGACTAATTCAGGCTCATGTGCCACAGCTTTATTTCCCAGTAGAATAATGACGGAAACAGGAGTCACAACAGTTTAGCCTGGACTTCAGGTCTATCTCTGTGGATCAAAACACACTTGAAGATTAGAAACAGAGCGTTCTCATCAGGAAGGGCTGATATTTATGATCACGACGACGCTTCAACGCCATTGTCCACCGTTGTCATTGTCATTGTCCAGGTCCACGCCATCGTCCACACCATCGTCCACAGTTTTCTCCACAGTCCAGACGTCAACATGGAGGAGGACTGGGACATTTTCCGTCTCCTTCTGAAATGTGACTTTAACTGCTGCACCGTCTGTCAACTGATGTCAGCACC